CATATACTTGCTATAATTTAACAATATACTCAATTGACACTATGTACACTTCACTTACATATTGTAATTGTGAATTTTCTTTTCAATTAAGAATCCTTTGAAATTAAATTGAAATTTCTCTCGTCTCCATTATATCTATATATGTCTTTCCATATTTGTTTAGATTTTGTTCTTCTTTTGATTCTATTTCTTCTGAGTGCACTTATAAAAAGCGTACATACATACAGCGTATATACATATATGTATATACGTGTATCTTTTTGAGACGAGAACGCATGAAATTTCTTTCCTTATATACTTATACAGTTTTATAAAACTGATGCACATTTTGAAACGGTGTTACGAGCGTTGTGAGTAGCTTCTATGACAATATAAATATCACTGGTTTTTCTCATTTTACTTCTTCGTATGACTGTTTTTCTATATAAAATATATATTCTATATAAAATACACTTTAAACATCCTAAGTGCATTTGTATGTTCAAACAATATTTACCCAAATGTGTTTTTTCATATGTTTATAGTTTCAATGTATATCATATATAAAAAAAGAAAATGACGAATGATTTTGTTATATTTCATTTGAAAAAAATAGTACAATTTAAGATAAAAAAGAATCACTCCAAATTATTTTTTTCAAAACTTTAATTAATAAAATGTTTTTTTATAACCTAAAATTTATTCCTTACAATTTTTATTTAACCTAATTATTATGGGTCCTAATTTTGAATAGTACAAATTATAACTAAAACCAATTTTATGGGACCTAAATGTAATAAGGTAGAATATATATAAAAGGAATTATTGATTTAAAAAAAAGTTTGATTAAAATTCTGATTGACTATAGCTAAATTTTACCGTATTACATTTAGGCCTCAAAAAAATTGGTTTTAATTAAAATTTGAGGCCGTTTTTACCGTGTGGATAAATTTAATCTTTCTAGAGGTTAAAGTCAGTGGATATATTTTGCGTCTGCGCATAATGTTTGTCTGCGCATACGCAGAATATATCTACTGCCTTTAACCTCTCGGAAGATTAAATTTATCCACACGGTAAAAACGGCCTCATATTTACTATTAAAAATTAGGACACATAATAATTAGGTTAAATAAAAATTATGAGAAACAAATTTTACGTTATACAAACATTTTATTAATTAAAGTTTTGAAGAAAATAAATTGGAGTAAAAAAATGTTAATAGAAACGTGTGATCATAGAATAAAAAAAACACTAATGGCGACAAATTTAAAAGGCAATATAAAGTAGTTTCCGATTTCATATTTTTAATTTTAAAAATTTATTAAGCTAAATTTATAATATATATAAGATAAAATTGCATATTGGCTATAATCGTATAAAATAAATTAAATGATATATTATAGCAATGTGTAAAGGATGAGATGAAGTTATATTGAATATAATTGCGCTAAAATATATGGTCCATAAAAAGTAATTTATTCCAAGTATTAATGATAAATTCAAAATGAGTAAAATTAGTCATCGCGCAAGTATAGAAATAATCACGAATGATAATTTTCCTCTTGGTGTTCATTTTGTTGCAGTGTTTCCTATACACGTATAGAAATTAATGTATCGAAGCATGGCGGAAAATTACACCTCGTTGCTTAATTTGCGGAATTGTTCAAATGTGCGAAATTCTCTCGTTAAACTTCATAATCCTCGTTAATCCAAAGGTCAATGTCCCATCCTTTTTCACTGAATTTCACTCATCGCTTGACGAATATATGAAAGCTATATGATACTCTCTCTTTGCGCTCATTTCATATCGAATGATAATACAACAAATCTTCCTCGCGTAAATGAATATTTATGTTTAAAAATTTATTTGAACTTTTCTTAATAAACTGAAATTTTGATTATAAAATATTGTAAAAAAAAAATTGAAAAATATAATCCCTTTTACAAGTGATTATTGTTTTACTTTATAAATATATATATTTTTTGTATTGTGATATTGGAATTAGTACTATTATCGTTTTTGAACGTAAATTATGATACGGAGACCAGTGCATAGGACGCGGTTAGCCATTATGCATTCATATTAAATCGAGAATTTATGCGAGTTCATCGGTATGTGCTCCATGTGTGTTCTAACCTCTCCTCTTCTAGTACCAGGTGTGAAGTAATTTTTTTTTCATCGCGTATTTTGCGCAATAATGTGCTCGGGAAAGCCTTCTTATTTTCAATTTTTTTTTTATTTTTACCTACATTTTCCAATGTTAATTTTATCTATAGAGAGTACTCGACAGAATTTCAATTTTCAAAAGCGAATGGGGTTTTACAAGGGATATAGAATTATTCGATTTCCATTATTGAATAAGTCTTATCAATGGAGAATGCAGGATATAATAAAAAAGAACATTGATTTATTATCTATTTTATATTAAATTCACGTTATTAATTTTTTTCTCTCTCCATAAGATGATTTTTACAAGGGATGATTATTACTTTATATCTACATATATATATATAATGCATTTTCCGCAAGAGTAGATTAGCGAAGAGCTTCCAGCTTATTCCTACTACTCATTATAGTATTCAACATAAATATATATTTTGTTAAATTTTTTTGCTAATTATTTTTAATCTAGAATCGATAAATATGCTTATATTTATTTTTTAATTGAAATTCTTTGGAAGTTTATATAAGATTATATAAAATAGTGAACTCGAAAAATTCTGTTTACACGTATATGAAAGTTTTGTAATATCATATTTTTCATGCATTTTTTTCCTTAAATGTATATGTATAGTGACGCAATTCTTGAATGAAGGAGCGACATACTTGTGTCAAATATCTCGATACCAATTAATTTGTCCTCGTCTGTGCAGGCTTGAACCTTACTGGAATCAATACACATTATACATATTCATTTTGCATATTTTACCCACGCGTCTCTCACGACTTCTATTTGCGTAACATTATGAGCAAGAGAATGGACAATTGAAGTTTCGTTTCAAATATCAGATCAGTTTCTATGTTGTGGCATAACATTCTTGTTTTTATTTTTAATTTTTTAAAAACATTTTAACATTGGATTTTTATTGTTATATAACTATAATCCGTTTGTTACAACTGCTTGATATACATTTCAATTTCATATTTAATTCAAATTAATGAAAAACATTTTATAATAATGAGCCGAAAGTTTTGAACGTTCATATGAACGAAATATTTTTTTCAATCTATAAATTATTAACCCGTTGCCTGTCGCTGACGCATATATGCGTAAAAATAAAACTGGCCAAAAGTGCTCTTTACGCATATGTGACCGTCCACGACAAAACAAGGCTTAGCTCCCAAAAGTAAATTTCACAGGGCAAGCGATTCAAGTAGAAGCAGAAACAAGGAACACGCTTGACATGCCCGTCTTTAGAACGTTATAGTATCAAAAGTAATTGACATAAACAATTTCTGACTTTTGCATGCGAAAGAGCAACTTAAAATCTATCGATTAGCATCAAAAACTCAAAATTGATTTTTTGGAAGCTAAGCCTTGTTTTGTCGTGGACGGTCACATATATGCGCAACTTAAAAAAAGTGATGAAAAACATCTCAAATATTTCTGAAACTGGTTACTCGGGGGTTTTTGGGGTCGCTGATTCTGAATCTGAGGTCGGTTTTTCAAAATTCAAAATGGCGGATCCAATATGACGGACGACAATTTGAAAATATGATACAATTCGCTTGAAAATGGTTACTCAGGGGTTTTCGGAGTCGCTGATTACGAATCTGATATCAGTTTTTTAAAATTCAAGATGGCGGATCCATTATGGCGGAAAATTTTTCAAAATTGATCGGATTCGACTGAAGCTCGTTGAATTTTGAATTTTAAAAAACTAACATGGGATTCATAATCAGCGACCCCAAAAACACCTGAGTACCCATTTTCAAGCGAATTGCATTATATTTTCAAATTGTCGTCCGCCATATTGGATCCGCCATTTTGAATTTTGAAAAACCGACCTTAGATTCGTAATCAGCGACCCTGAAAACCTTAAGATACCAAGTTTCATAAAAATTCATTAAAATTTTTTTCAACACACTTTTGGCCCAAATAGTGGAAATCTCGTCGACTGTCAAGGGGTTAAAAATTATGATGATCATGTAAAATAAAACAGTAAATTTAACAGTTATTAAATTAATAACATCTTTTTAGATATTTTAAACAATATTTTGTAATAAAATTCGTACTTAAAGAAGTTGCAAAAAAAATTTTGTTCATATGAACGTTCAAAACTTTTGACTCATAATTATTTTTTTGACAAAATTTTTATTTTACGAATTAGAATTTGACAGAATTTTTTTTTAAACAAATTTTTACTTAACAGAATTGTTATGTATTGAATTTTTATTGTACAGAATTTTTAAAACGCCGAATTTTTATTTGTTCGAAATTGAAAGTGGCCGAACAAACAATCGACAGGAAGATTTCGATTTGATTTTTAAAATTGACCAATCAGAAATTGTCAAGAAAATAGTGAGTGGTGAACTTTAAAAATCGAATCGAAATCTTTCTGACGATTGTTTGTTCGTCTATTTTCAATTTCGGACAAATAAAAATTCGATACATAAGAATTCTGTTAAATAAAAATTCGTTTATAAAGAAATTCAGTCAAATTCTAATTCGAAATAATAAAATTCTTTAAAAGTAAAATTGTAATTAATGATTTTTATAGGGCAATACAAAATTTTCATTAGATTAGCTATTTTATCTTTTATTCATATATTGAAAGATTCATATTTAACATTATTAGGGTCAGTTTCACCAACTCCGGTTAAAACTTAATCAGCGATTAAATCCTTAACCGACCAATCATGAGCGGTTAAATTGGCTTTAATCGCTGATTAACTTTTAACCTGAGTTGGTGAAACTGGCCCTTAATGTTATAAACTATAAAATAGTGTAATAATTTTTTCATATGTTAAATGAAAAGAGTTAAAATTAATGAAAAAAAAAATTTGTTTAATTTTTCAGCGTGCAGTTTGCGAAGAAATCGAAATGGTGGAACTAAGTAGTAGTGGTCAACAGACAGCCATAGGCGTGATGGGAATTGGATCAGTGATATCCGCAGCGACGTCGTCGTCATCATCGTCGACGACTACCACTGTGGCGTCATCGTCGACGTCAGGTCGCGCGGGTATTCTCGAGACTCAAGTTAGGGGACAATGGTATCGTGTATTTGTCTCACTAGAGGATGATTATTTAACAATATCGCTTGACGATAGCTGTGACAATCCAACGGGAATGAATGGCAATATAAATAATAATAATATTGACAGTCTTAATGATCCCGATGTACCGGACTCAGTGGCTAATCAAACAAGAATAGTGCGCGTTATGAAAAGTGATAATAATGGTCTTGGAATATCCATTAAGGGTGGGAAGGAAAATAAAATGCCTATTCTCATTTCAAAGATCTTCAAAGGAATGGCAGCGGACGCAACGGAACAACTTTATGTTGGTGATGCCATTTTGGCTGTTAATGGAGAAAATTTACAAGATGCCACGCACGATGAGGCTGTCAAGGCATTGAAGAGGGCTGGCAAAGTCGTTGAACTTGAAGGTTAGTATTTTTATTTTTTTAAATACATTTTTATGTATTTATCTTAAGGACGTTGGAGAGTTTTAGTTATTTATTGAAATGGTTTTCGGGAGCGCGAAAAAATCTGTTTTATAAGTACATAAGCCTGAAATTTGTATATTTTAACAAAATTTAAAGGGCTCTTTACTAATTTTGAAGCGATATGCGCATTTTTTTTTAGAAACAGTAAGCATAATGAAAATATCTTGAAAAAATTGAAGACAAAAGTGAATTTCTACTTTTTTCCAAGTGTGTTAAATAGGTGTGAATTATTAAAAAAATTTGAGTGCAATTTTTTTTGTGCACTGTTTACATTATATTTTGTGAGTTAATTTTTAATTTGACCAAAATATCAGCACTAAATCAGGTAACACAGGTCTACAAAATAAGTTTTTTTTTTTTAGTTGTCAAAGTGGTTTTCAATGTATTTTTGTGTACTGAACACGATTTCGGGTTCCAAAATTGAGTATCACGTCAGAATATTGAGTAAAGAGGGGGTAAAGTCTTTAAAAACTGTGTTTTTGAGAGTTTTCAGTATTTTTTTTCTTTTTAACCTGAACGTGCTAGAGACTTCTATATAGGCTTAAATTAAAGTTTAAAACGTTCATTTTAAAACCCATATGCGCATAATAAAAAAAATTTTGAAATTTTGAAAAAAATGGAGATAATGACCCAATAATCTTTTTGGGTGACTTGAACCTAATTTTTTTCAAAATTTAAAATTCTTTTTATCTTGCGCATATGAGTTTTAGAGTGTAAAATATAAGCTTTAATTTAAACCTATGTAGAAGTCTCTATCACGTCAGGTTAAGGAGAAAAAAAAATACTAAAAACCGTCAAAAACACTGTTTTTGGAGTCTTTACCTCTTTTTTACTCAAAATCCTGACGTGATACACAATTTTGAAATCCGGGATCGTATTCAGGACACAAAAATACATTGTAAACCACTCTGATATCTCAAAAAAATACCTTGTAGACCTGTAGACCCACTTGGAAAGATTCCCCGGAAAGTGCCCCTTGGAGGTTCTATCAATCAGAATTCCGCCGGAACTTCCAACGTAATTCTGACGGAATTCCATTTAATTAATTAATTAATTAAATTGATTATTGTTTAATTTTTTTCAAAATTTTTAGAGTCCTAATTCCGTCGGAACTCTGTTGGAATCCCATCGGAAATTCTTTGGAACTCCGATGGAATTCCAACGGAATTACATTGGAAGTTCCGGCGGAATTCTGATAGTATTTCCAGGGGGCACTTTCCGGGGAATCTTTCCAAGTGGGGACTTGAGTTTAAAATTATATAAATTTTTAATTGATTTTAGTTGCAAATTATCCTAATTTTAATTTATCCAAATTTTAATTGATTTAAGTTTCAAATTATCTGATTTCAATTTTTTTAAATTTTAATTGATTTAAGTTTTAAATTTATTCTAATTTTAATTTACCCAAGTTTTAAATAATTTAAGTTTCAATTTATCTCAAATTTCTATTTACCCAAATTTTAAAACAATAATGCTTCAGTTATTGATTAAAAATTTCATTCAATCAAAATTTGAATAGATACAAAGTGGTTATTTTGCATGTTAATTGTCAATTTTTTATCACCCTCTTTTGTCATCTATGTTTGGTATTTTTACTAATTTTCAATAAAAGAAAGAACTGTGATAACTATTCATGAGCCAAAAGTTTTGAACGTTCATATGAACAACATTTTTTTTGTAACTTCTTTAAATACGAATTTTATTACAAAATATTGTTTAAAATATCTAAAAAGAAGTTATTTATTTAATAATTGTTTAATTAACTGTTTTATTTTACATGGTCTATAGTGAAAGAAGAGTGAATCTAACTCCAGAATTAAATTTTATTGACCGCTAATTAAATAGATTTCGTTATTTTTGTATATTGAAAAATTTTTTCACTAAAAGTTCAATATTTTATATATTGTATTATATAATTATTTCTGAATATATACAATCAGAATATAGAATTTCATAATTATATCTATGCGTTACTTTTAGCCTTTTTATTTTGAAATCCAATGCAGCTTGTTATAAAAAATTTTATCCTTTTATTGAGACTGATGTAAAAGTCTTGAAGTCACCGCCTGAGGTATGAATAAAGTATGACTGAATTGAAAAGCTGATTCCTTGATAACTTATTTCATTGAAAGAAATATTATCTCTAGAGCTCATTTGATATAGACGGAAGTTTGAAGACCTTTTCTTCTTCAATGAAAATATTGAATGATGGATTTAAGAAAACTTATAAAAAAAAGGAGGTCGTTTCCTCGAAGGTCCTCTAGTTTTTTCTTATTGAGGCATGGAGAAAAAAATTTTTTTTTTCTTATTATACCCAAGGCGCGCGCGGAAAGTGAAAAGTTTGTTTTAACTTGGTATATATAAAGGTTGGTTTTAATTAAAGAGAAAGAATAGTGCATCAAAGATCCTGGTGAATTTCGATCGTGAAAATCACCCAGGGAATGGGAAACTTACACAAGAATCAATTCCCTTTTATTTCCGGGGTTTTTGCCCGTGCTGTTTGAATAAAGAATAAATGAGTGGAAGAAAAAAAAAGTATAGACGCTATATATATATATATATAAAAGAAAAGTGCTCGAAACATTAACAAGGCTCTTAATTCTCCTTGATTTTAAGTAAAAGGGCGTTAAATGCAAAGAATTCCTAATTTTCATTTAAAAGAAAAAAAAATCCTTTTATTTCCGTCATTCTCACCTTATAGGAGGAAGGTTCATTCTTTCTTATATAGATTTGAATAAGATTTGAGTATCCTTCTCTGACCGTAAAAAACTTTTAGTTGGATTAGTACAACCAGGTGTATCTTGTTCGGAATAGTTTCTTCGACTCTTTTTTTTCAATTGAAGTATATACGAAATTTTCGGATTCTAGGAACTTTCAAGGTATTTAGTTCTTGAAGAAAAAAAAGAGAGATAGAGGTTACATTCTTTTTATACGAAAAAGTTTTGGAAGCAACTTTGGGGGAAAAATTGTAGTAAAAATTCCATAGGGTAAATTAAATTCTTGAGATAATTTAAGTTCTAAAAAATAATTTTGAACTGAATTTATTTAATTAAAAAAAGTTATAGAATTTCAAATTATTTCAATATATATCAATTTTGGAAGTTTTTAATTTTCATAATTCATTCCTCGTAGATTTACGTTTCACTTTAAGAATCATATTTCGCAATAAGTGTCTCGAATTTTCTTTTGTCTGTATATACTATACAGAGAAAAAGAGAGAGAGAGAGAGATGGAGAACAGGTTGAAAGACCTTATATACTTGGTATTGTTTCGATTTGTATGCGTTCGATTCCCGAAGCGATTTCAAGTCGAGATAAAATTATATTAAAAGGAGCCTGGAAATCAGGTCGAAAAGTTTTGCATCGATAGTGAGGAGAAAACTGTTTCTTTTTAGTGTACTTTAAAAGGAGGGGTAGCTTTCAACTTTGCTTCTTTTTAGTTCTTATGCATATCTCGCTTCAAAGCTTTTTCGCTCTTCAAATTCCTTTGTGTGTGTCTTCTCGTTTATTGTTTCTCGCATGAAATCTTTCAGGTTCGCTAAACTTGTGTGTAAAAAGATTCTCATATGTACATTTGACAATTTCAGCCTCTTTTTTTTCTCTTTAGCTGCCTTTTGTTTTTCCATGCATTTGGCAAATATTCTTCACAATTGAAATGTTTGAGATTCATATATAAATGTATACATCATACTTCAAGAATAAATTCACCTAAAAGTGTTGCTACTACTACTGCAAATGCTGATTCTAAAATAAGATCGCTACTTTAAATTTCAAGGGAGGGCTATATTAGAGAGAAATTTTTTTTTCTATATTTAAATCATTTGCTGAATAGACTTAATTTCACACATATTTAAAGAATGGAAAAATATACTATTATTTAAAAATAAAATACGCCGATGAAGTTCAAAAACCTCCCTGAAGTTGGCGAAATATCAAATCATTTTTAAAAACATTTAGGGTCCACATAATACCTTAAAAAATATTTCTCAAGGTATTATTTGGACGGAAAGTATTTTTTAAAAAATAATTTGACATTGGTCCTGTAAATGAGACAAAAGTTCTGAACGTTCATATGAACGAAATATTTTTTTCAATCTATAAATTATTAAAAATTATGATGTCAATGTAAAATAAAACAGTAAATTAAACAATTATTAAAATAATAATTTCTTTTTAGATATTTAAAACAAAATTTTGTAATAAAATTCGTACTTAAAGAAGTTGCAAAAAAATATTTCGTTCATTTGAACGTTCAAAACTTTTGGCTCATTCCTGTAAAAATAATTTTCGACGCTGAGCGCCAGCTTCATGGAGTTGTTCAAAACATTTATTATGATCAACGACTTAAACAACAAAATTTTTTGCAGTGCTTCTTGATTTACAAATTTTTAAAAGAACAATTTGTAGACAAAGAAGAAGGAAAAAATGTTTATAAGATATGGATTTTTTGGATCCAATTTTGACAAAGCTGACGTACGCAACCTTTGTCATTTCTTGTACTTTTCATTAATCAACAAATTATAAAAAAATATTTTTTAGGCAAAAAATTATAGAATTTTTCATTTTAAAAAATTATTTCTTTAAAAATCGTTTATATAAACGTTGCGTACTTCAGCTTCGTCAATTTTGCTTATTTTAATCCATTTTGGTATTAAAATTAGCAAAATTGGATTAAAATAATAAGCGTTGCAGCTTATTTTAATGCCTTATAATTTTCTGTGTAGTTTTTCTACGCATTTGTTAATGGGTGCAAAAAATTTTTCATCTTGAAAAATGCAATTATTAATTAAAACTTCATTTTTCTATAAAATGGAATTTTTTTTCATAAAATTGAGGTTTTTTCCTAAAAAAAAATGGATAGGTCATAAAGTATGACAAGAAATTTTTACTTGTCAAAATAAACATTTAAACTAGTAAAAATTTCTTCTCCCATTTTCAGAT